GGGGGGGGGGGGCTTGGGTTCCTCAGGCCATGCCATTGGTCACCTTGGGGCCGACATCCGTGACCCGGCCGCAGGACAAGGTCGAGCTGGCCGAGGAGTACCGCAGCGTGTCGACCCTCTCGCGTTTTGGCACCTCCCAGGACGTGCGCGGCAGCCGGCAGACGCCGGTGCACGTCTCCACGTTCGCTCCGCGGATCTTTCATGAGTTGCGGCGATTCGGCGGCGTCAGGCGCCTCTTCCTGGCTTTTCCACCGCCCGCCCCCCGCCAGCCGTCTCGCTGCCTCGCTACCTTCGCAGCTGTGGCTCTCGCATCGCTGTCAACCGCCCCGCTCGCTGTCTCACCGCTTCCCATCCCCACGGTGTCAGCACGCGCGAGTACACGCATTCGCTCGGCGGTGAGGCGACGGAGCGCTTCACCGAAGGCAAGTCGGGCGCGTTGCTCTTCCTGCTGGAGCGTGCGCTGTGAACGGCGTCTTCACACTTGCTGGAGCGAAACAGGCGCCTTCTTTTACTTTACGCACGACCGCCGGTACATCATCAAGACGGCGAGTAAGGTGTGGGAGACGGATCCTCGTTTCGCCACATGGGGGGGGGCCGTTACCGCCGGGCCGTTTTCCTCCCCGCAGGAGGAGTTTGCCCCGCTGATGCGCATCCTGCCGGTGACATGAGAGACCCTCGAGACGGCCCCTAGAGAAGAGTCATGGGCCCCTTCCAGACGCTCTTTAGCTGTCGCCCTGGGGGCCCTGACCCCCCCCCCCCCCCCCCTCCTCAGCGCTACCACACGCACGCCAAGCGGCATCCACACTCGCTCATCAACCGCATCGTCGGCGCACACGAGCTCTCGCTGTACGGGCAGCGGGTGCGCGTGATGGTGGTCGAGAGCTGCTTCCAGGCCTCGCGCGAGGTGCACGAGCGGTACGATCTTAAGGGCTCGTGGGTCGGGCGCGGTGGCAAGATGCTGAAGAGCCGCGGCGACGTGCTCAAGGACTAGGATCCTAGATGCGGAACGATCCTCGTATTCACTTGCAGCCCACCACGTTCTTGAGCACGCGGCTCGAATGCGTCGCCCCGATTGGGGGCTACAGGCGCGGTACCATCCGTGTCTTCACTGCACAGGATTTGGACGTGCGCAGCCGCTTCCTGCTCGCCGAGGAGGACGCGCGCCGCATCTCGCGCCACTTGCGGGAGGACGCCGCCTTTCTGAAGGCCAACAATCTGATCGACTATTCGTTGCTCGTCGGTGTCACGAAGACGCGCTACGAGATCGAGGGCGCGGCGCAGAGAAGGGACACGGCGGTGGTGGGCAGCGGCCCCGGCGACGGCGTGGCCAGCGCACCCTTCCACCGGCTGGACTCTGGCGGCCTCGCCGCCGCCTACGTCGAGGGCGCGGAGCTCTACTCGATGGGCATCATCGACATCCTGCAGGACTTCAACTTGCGCAAGCGCGCAGAGTATCTGATCAAACGCTTCGTCTGCTGCCAGGGCAAGGGCGTGTCGGTGCACCCCGCTGGCGAGTACGGCGATCGCTTCGTCCGCAATGTCGTGGAGGCGCTCATCGAGCCGGTGCGGCTAGGCGCGGAGCCGCGCGTCATCCGAGGCTACACTCCCGCCGGCTCGCCCCTCGGGATGTTTGACCTCAAGCAATCGGAGCGCCGCGTTGCGCTGGGGCGCAACCGGACGCGCGCGGCGCCGGTGGTGCCGCACCCGCAGCAGCCCCAGCCGTTCGGCGCGGAGCGGTCGGGCGTCTGGGCGCCGCCGCGGACGTCGCCGAGGCTCGTGGCGGCCGAGCTGGGCCGCCATACCGATGGCAGCAGCGGTGGGCTTCCCACGACAGAGCCACCGCGGGCGTTCACGTTCCCGCGCGACGGAGCGCAGGAGAGAGAACACGCGAAACCAGCATCGGGCCAGCAGCACAAGGAGAGGGGTGCAGATTGCTCTCCATCAGACGAGAGGCGTTGCGAGCTGATGTGAGCCGGCGTGTCGGACGTGTAACGGAGGCCTCGTCTCCAGAGGGGTCGTAACTGTCGGCTCTTGCCTATACTTTACGTAGATGAAGATATCACGCGCGGTTACGCTTACGGCGTACACGGTACACAGTCCTCGAGCGTCGAGGCTGTGTCGACGCACTCGAGACTCGTGAGACGTGACGGGGCGACGCGCGACGCACGAGCGGCACGACCCGCGCGGTTCCCCGGAGCCCCCGCGCGCGGACGCACCAGTCTGCGCACCAGTCGTTTCTGAAAATCACCCACACGGGGCGATGGCGGCCCACGGTCAGAAGACAGAACATGGACAAACATGTGAAGGTGTGGCGACGCCCACGCATGAGTCGCCGCGAAGGGCGAGACATGCGGCTCGGTCGGCTCGCCACTCGCGTGTGTGACGGGAGGCGAGGTGAGTGCAAGATTTTTAGTTCTCACGACTCGCTGCTCCAGGCTGAGTTTCCACGGTCAGGGTGCCGGCTGTCCTGTTGTGCAAACGCTCGTAGAGAGCCACCAGACGGAGAGTGGCTCAGCCGACAGCCCCAGGTCCCAAAACACCCCCTCCAGAGACCGCCTAAGCACCTTCCGACCTAAAGAGGCCTAAGCGGGGGGCACTTAGGGTGCTTAGGTGCTTAGGTTGCCCTCGCGAGCGTAGCTACGTGCTGACATTCTCATATACGAGTGATCCTGAGTACCCACATGATGTGCCTGCCTATCGCTAAGTACGCGATTGCGGCTTCACCGTTCTCACGACGCTCACGATCTACATCTAGTGGAGTCGAGCCCTCGTGGTCGCCCGCCAAGCAGCGCATCTCTGGCTAGAACTTGTACTTGTGTGCTCAAAACCAAAAGGACAACCCACTGCTAGCATTGCTTGTACACCTTGAAGCGCATGCTCCTCCAGCTCCACCGCTCGATGTGCAGCGGCGCCCGGCTAGACGAAGGCATGCCAGCTACCTGCACACCCTTCGTCGGCGCCGCAGAGTCGGCTATACCCTTGCTGGGAAGCCAATCCGTGCACATGCGGCGCGCCTTCTCGAGGAGCCTCCACCCGCAGGCGTGATCACGCATTCGCGTCTCGACGTTAGAGAACCGGTGGCCCATTCCATTGACGACGGTCAGGGCGGCAAATGTGGAGCCATCCTCGAAGCCAAAGACAAACTCGACCGCGACCATCGCGTACGCAAGCCCCTGGGAGCAGGGTGGGGCAATGAGCAGCTTTTGGACAGCAGCCACGCCACCTGTACCTGCAATGTTCACGCCTGTCCCCGCACCCACGCCGTGTTAATGAGGGCCCAAGTGACGCGGCCGTGCTTTGCAAGCTCGAACATGCAGTCGTAGCAGTGCATCAAGTAGAGGCCTGCGAGGCCTGCGAGGAGGGCGCGCCGCAGGAGGACGTCGCGTGCGACATCTGGCGTGCAGCACAGCGTCGCCAACTCGACGAACTGGACGCCGGTCCGGATGGCGTAGGCCCCGAAGCGGATAGAGGCCGTCCACGCCTGGTTCGCCTGTTCAGAGTAACGACGGCGTGTAGCGACGCCGCTCAGAGCACAGCGAGGGAGCAGGGAGACCCCGTAAGCTCTCTAGGCCGACCCATCTTCCTCTCTCGCACAGGGCCAGTTCAATCCCCGAGAGGAGAGGCAGATGTGGGGTGATGTGGCGCGCAAGACTTACTTCTTACGTCAGAGCCATGTCCCATGTGCTGCAAGATCTCTCTCCGGTCTCAGACCTACATTCTATATTCCAGAATGGCATTCTTCGAAATAGAATGGGCGCCGCAGCGGCCCGTAGCGGCGCCCCCTGCGTGCCCACGGCCACCCCGGGGCCATGGGACATCCCCCCGGCCATCGGGGATGCTTGGTTTATCCATTACCCCATTTACACGGGCTGTGTTGCGGCGCGCCTCGAGACGCGCAGCGCAGCGCAGCGCGCAGACCACAAACCAGATAAGAAGACGGCCGTGGCGACACCCGCTCTCTGAGCGACAGCCCCGCAAAGGGCACTCGCTCGCAGGCGAGGACTACGGGCAGCACAGGCAGCAGCAGAGCTGGCGGTCCGTCTCCCCGCCCGCTTAGCAAGTCGGCCCCAGCGTCACGGCCGGGACGGGCCAGGAGCCACCCGGCTCGACGAGATCGACGAAGAGGACGAAGACGAGGACGAAGACGAGGAGAGGACTACTCGAACTTGGACGAGGACTCAGGCGAGGCGCAGGACTCGGAGACCGGGCAGGGAAGCGAGGACCATGACTAGGTGACACGAGGAGTAGATGTGACATAGGTAGACCGCATTCGCGCTGTCTGCTCACTTCTGCCGCCCGACCCTTTCGCCCGCCCACCACTTGCGAGCACAAATCTCACACTTCCACTGCCCTCGCCACAGGCGGCGACGGACGGACATCCAAGGCTCGAACGGCGGCAGCGGCTCAACGGCTGCCGGCGGCCGTCGTGCGTTTGCTTTCGCCATACGCGGCCCCCGGCGTCTGCTCTGGTTTGCCGGGGCGGGGGGGAGGACTCTCATTTGCGGACTGTTGGGCTTCTCTGTGTTGAACTGGCGCTTGTCGCGAACCCCATCAGTCTGGCCGAGCGGCACGCTGCCGCTGGGGGCGTGAGGAGGCCGTGGGGGACGGCGGCGGACCCCATTCTTCGATGTAGAATGGGCCCTCACCGCGGCCCGTCTGCTGCTGAAAATGTGGCGTGTTGGGGGCTCTCCTGTGTGACTCCTCTGGCTCGCCGCGTTAAAGTGGCGCCTGTGTGTGACCAGCCTCAACCCCGGCAAGCGCCCCCCGGCCGCTGGGGCTGCGAGGCGGCCGGGTGAGCGCGCGCGAGACGCCATTCTACATTATAGGATGCCATTCTATAATATAGAACGGCCAGGTAGGGCTGAGACCGTCTCTCTCTCTCTGTGCTGCTATGCCTATGGGCGGCGACCCTTTTTCTACGGATTGGATTTTGCGACCATGATCGCAGGGCTCCGCGAGGAAATACCCCCCCCCCCCCCACCCACCCACCCACCCGCTATAGGCGTCATTTGTCTTCAAATCTTCGAGTTGTTTGTCAGTGTGCGCGCGAGCGAGCGGGGATACACTTTGGAATGCGATCCGAACGAAAATCTCACTCACCTCTGCACCGTCTGAGGCTGGCCAGCCTGAGGCGCGTCAGCGTGCCGCTGCTGCCGCACGGGCTCTTGCTGGTCTGTGGCCTGCTTGCGGCCGGCGCAGCGCTTGGCTCGCTGCTGTGGCAGCCTGCGCCGGTGCCCACGCGCTCAACAGACTTCGCGCACTTGTCCGCACCTCGGCAATCCGGCCCTCCATCTTGGGACCAGCTGGAAGGGGATGCGAGCGGCCCTGCCGACGCGGAGCGGGATCCTCTCGCAGACGCGAGTGATGACGGCGGCGACAGCGACGGAGGCTGGCTTGAGGCGGTTGGCCCGCATCCCGTCAACATGAGCAACGTCGTGGTCGGGCTGATGACATGCGACCGCTTCCTGCCGACGCGCGGCGCCGCCCTCCGCGACACGTGGCTCTCCCGCGCCCGTCGCGTCCTCTACTTCTCCGACGACGCCTTTGCTTCCGACGGCGGCCGTGGCCACTTCCTACAGGGCTCGCTCCTCCCATTCTCGGACACTCGCGAGACGTCTGCTAGGCGGACCTCGGCGCGAGCCTCCTGCCTTCGGAGCGCCGCTGGTGAGGCACGCCTTCGCGCCGACGCGGCCGGGCGAAACTGTGCCCGAACGCATCTATTCCGGAGGCAACTGGCGCGCTGTCCCCATCCTACGCTCTGTGGCGGAGGCATTCTTCACGGCCGACGCGGCGGCGCGGCTAGCCGCACAAGGCGAGCCGGCGGCGGAGTGGGCGTTCCTCGCGGACGACGACTCGTTCGTGATCACGTCGCAGTTGACGGCAACGCCTTCTCGGTACCTCGCGTGGAGGGTGCGCTGTCTGGCACCCGCGCGAGGCTCTGTGAATAGGCCACGCTTTCCCGGTACGACCCCTCCAAGCCGCACTACCTCGGCTACGCCTTCCTCGCGGCGCCTCACCTCGAGGGCGTTATCAAGGGGAAGCGGCAGCCAAAGTTCGCCAACGGCGGCGCGGGGCTCGCGCTGTCTCGCGCAGGCATGGCGCAGGTGCTGCCGCATTTGGCCGCATGCGAGCACGCCTACAAGTGGAACTGGCCAGGCGACGTGCGCACCGCGCAGTGCTTGCTCGATGCAGGCGTCCAGCTCACGTGGGTTCGGTCCTTTCACTCGGAGAGCCCGCCGACCATCCTGGAAAAGGCCAAGCCGCCCCCCGGGTCGGTCGCGGTTGGGCTTACTTTGCCACCCGTCTCCTTTCACCACGTGGACCCGGGCGAGACACAGCCGAGAATGTGCCGAGAGGTGGCGATCCTTTCACCCAGATTCGACCCGCTCGTCCTTCCCCAAAGCACCGCTTTCCCGGTTTGCCCAGGCCCTTGCCCCACACTCCAGCGTTGTGGAGCCCGTTTTACCCACTTCGCCGCCGGCTGCAGAGTGGCTGGCGCGCCTCGAGGCGATGAGCGTCGTGCGGCACGGTGGCATGTACTACGATTTCGGTACCACCTAGGACAGCCGTGCGCCGCACCTCGGCCCGATATCTTTGCGCTACCCCTCGGCCGTATCTGTCGATAGGCCATCTCGTCCTCCAGCCGTGTGCAGGGCGCGTAGAGAACAACCGCGGCGCCGCCCCCCCTCGTCTCGTCGGCATTTCGGCTTCATCTCGGTTTCATCTCGGCTACACTTCAGATACAGGCACAGCTTCTCTCGTCCTCGGCTATTCCGTTTCCCTCTCCTCCTCCTCGCCCTCGGGCAACGACCGATTCTGAGAGAGGCCGAGGCGCGAACGGCATCGTCACACGTTTCGGCTGTGACTAGGCGACGACCGGTTCGGAGAGCGGCTGGAGACCGTGTCCGTGGAGGGCGACGCGGCGAGCGGCATCGCTTTTGTGCAGCGCTATGCGGGGGGCGATTGTCGCGAGGTGTCGTTTGCCGCGTCGCTGCTGCGTCGCGCTGTTTCTCGGTGCCATCTCGGCGGCATCTCGGATGTAGGTGGTTGGCCGCATCGTTGCCGCAT